TATATTTAAATAAGGGACTGTACATTTTGTAATAAAGCAGTGATTGATAAATCTGAAGATTAAAACTATTGTACTATAATACAGAAAACACACACAAAAAATTTCAGTTAGTTGTTTTCAAAACTTTTTGAGCAATCGCTGTCTTCGTTTGAGCATTTTCAAAAATTAACCATCTCCAGTAAAACGCACTTTAAAGTATGGCATCTTGTTTAGAGTAGTGGCATCTGCTTTTACTAAAACACTTGTAGTTTTCTGTATAGTTAAATGGAAAATAATAAACTTGGTATTTTTATGAAGTTAATAAGATGGCCTATATAACATAAAACCGTAAAAAAAATGTCAACTTTTGGCAAAATTCATGATTTGAGGATACTTGGATACCTCAAAGTTAAGTTAAATACAAACATTGACGTAGATAGATTAATATTTAATCTTTCCATAAAATATAATGCTGCGAAATAATTTTTTTTCAATTTTTTTAATTTTTTAATTCTCTCCACATAGATAGTGTAATGTAATATAAGAATTTTTTTGTTAATTTTTCCTTACGTTTGGCGTTTTAAACAAGTAAACATAAATCCAATTCTACAATACCTTATTGCGTCTCAAAACTTCTCTCCTAGATAAATATAAAGTAATTGAATTGTGAAAGGAAAGAAGTTTTGAGAAAGGAAGATAAATAAAAAAGGAGAAATCGAAACGTAAACCATTTAAATAAATAATGATTTTTATAAAGAGGAAACAGGAGGAAAATTAGCTTTTCCTTGATTTAGGAACTGCTGACTTCTGTCAGAGAAAACATAAGGGAAGTTTAATTTAGATTCAGGTTTTTGATCATTTCTCACATTCAAAACACTTTCACACATAATACATTATTCAAATGCAGTGCCGTCCAACCATTTTATAGCCGCGGCCCGGCCTATTTTTCATAATTTTACCACATATTTTAATCTATCTCTGTATTTAAATATGCCTTCAAAATACACCAAAAAATGAAGTTCCTGTTGTTGTCGTTTCTAATCCCATTTTGTCTAGCAATGCTAGATAATCACCATGAACAGAAAAAATTCTAGAAATTCTAAAAATATAAGAGTTGTGACGGGGCCTTATCGCGCTTTCTACTAAAACCCTCTTGGGAAATCTTTGGGGCCAGAATGGCATTTCTTTTCCAACCAACTCAAGAAGAGAACGCGATTATGCAGATTAGGAATGTGTATATATTGGAGCTTTTTAGTATTCGCGTGGAGTTGCTAGAAGGAGAGTTCTCTGAGTGCTAAGTGAGTTCTAATGAGAGGTTAGGAAGTATTATGAAAATCATATAGAAGTGGATTCGAAACCAGAAGTTTGACCATTTACCGGATTAAGTTAGATACAGTATTATATTGAAGATATAAAGACGGGTAGCGGTTAGCCGTAGAATATCGGTAAGATAGATTGTATTAAGGTATCCGACTACGTTAGGAACCGTGATTTTGCAAAAGCGTGTAAATGGATAATATTTATGATATTTAGTGTCACTTATAGATTAGAATACATGTATAAAATTGTTTTAAGGGCATTATTACTAAAAAAATATTTAAATACAATATTTTGGCAAAAAATTAACTTAGAATAACCTTTTTTCCAAATGTTCTCCTTTTGTAAAAAATGCTTCTATTGTATTAATATTTTGCCTGTATTCAGCTCAGACCTCTGCACAGAGGCTCAACTAGAATTTTTGAAATGCATACCTTGGAAGTCGGTTTATCCATGTTTTACGAAAACAGATGGGAGAAATTTTAAGAAAATACGCCAATAATTATTTCAAATGGTTGTAACTCTGAAAATAATTTGAATTTTTCAAAATTCATAGTTGAGCCTCTGTACAGAGGTCTGAGCTATAGACAGGCAAAATATTAATACAATAGAAACATTTTTTCCAAAGGGAGAACATTTGGAAAAAAGGTTATTCTAAGTTAATTTTTTGCCAAAATATTGTATTTAATTAATTGTTTTTGTCATAATGTCCTTAAAACAGTTCTATACATGTATTCTAATCTAAGTGACACTAAATATTATGAAAATTATACATTTATACGCTTTTTTAAAATCATGGTTCCGAACGTAGTCGGATATCTTAAACTTTAATTCGCGTGAATTCTAGAAAGTTAAGGAATCATCTATGAACATAGATCCGGTGGTTAATTTATCCTAAAAGTATTGAGTAAGGTTTAAAGCGCTATTTGTTAAGAATTGTAGTTTATGTCATATCACTCCTGATCTTTAGCCTCCTAGACTTGTGTTGCATTGCTTAATATTATTTGAAATAATAATAAACTAGTTTTATTATGGAAGTTTTGAGTGGTGAATCTTTTGTCCCCACAAACTCAGGACATGTGCATGAAGAGATGATACCCACAGCCCGTAGGAGTATCACAGATTTTCTAGAAGGACCTCGTCTTTTTTGAAATCCAAACAAGTCAAAATGTGGGCAGGAGAAACCAGTTCGGAATAACACCAGTGGCACTCCGGAATATCATCTGACCCTGACGAAAAGTGAGAGCTTTTACAAGGCCACTGACAAAGCCCGAAAAGACAGTGTGATATTTTCTAGACATACACCTGAATGAACCTCCTGGATTTCTGGATTTAAAAAGGAATTTGAAGTGGTTTAACATGGAATATTAAATGATTTCAGCGGAAAGTCGCACAATCCTGAGATAAATACTCCACAGTAAATGAAATGGAATTACAGTCGGATCTCTATATAACGAAGTCACTAAATCACGAAAAAAAGTTCGTTAGATGGAAAGTTCGTTATATAGAGGTTCATCTTTCAATTTTCCTTATAAACAACGTAAAACAAATTTTAAACTCATAATAACTATGCATTAAAAAAATTAATTATTCACACCTTTTTGTGAATTAATATATATTTATTTTAAATATCTTATATACTTATAAATAAAAAGAAAAGAAAGAAAAAAAAAACTCCTAGTGAAGTTTCTTGGCACCTTTATCCACTTTCTGAAGAATTACATTTTTATCTTTGATGCTCAAGAACTTATGTTTTGATGTTTTTGAGCCACAAGGAACGGACGACTTATCAACACTACAAATGAACACTATTTAATCACACGGGGACACGAGATAATTCCGCTGAGAGTGCAAGGGGATATCGAAGATGTTTCTACTGAACAGGACAATAAAGTTGAAAGATTGCACTTCTTGAATGAAACACCCAGAATTGTATTGTTCTCGGCGAATTAGGCACCTAATAAAACCAGTTCAAGATTCATGACCACCATAAAATGTGTTAAAAGAGAGAATAACTGGAAATGTCCAGAAATACTTCAAAAATAGAGGGAGAAAAAATTGAATCACAAGAGAAAAAGTTGGTTATATAGAAAAT